CAGCTGATTATAGTCGCATGTGGTTGACGACTGCACCATCCCACATCAAAAATCGATGCGAACGTACGGGATCAGGTCGCGTATGATCTCCGGGCATTCGTCCCTGCTATTCATTGTAGGGTTTTTGGCATTGATCCAAAAAGCCTCTAGGAGTTTTCGCGCTGGTGTTTTGGACTCCTGTGCAAGGATATTGACTTTCACTTCAAAATCGTCTCCGCTATGCTTTTGTATTTTTGATGTGGGATGGTGCAGTCGTCAACCACATGCGACTATAATCAGCTGTTCTAAACTTCCTCATTGGAAGTCACGAAAAAGCGGTGGGTTTTTCGAGAAGTTGTTGATCGTGTAATTACCAAAGAGTCTTTCGTCTTTGTGTAAGTGTTATTGAAGCGTTTGGCCTAGTAGATTGCATATCAGCATACCCTTCCAGGCTCTGAAGAAGGCGATACTGCCGAAACGTCAGCTAGCGTTGTATTATTGTTTTTATGGAAGTAAATGTATGCTGTTTAAAAACCTCGCGATTGCTGAACAAGAAAACGACACATCTCTATAATTCTATTCTCTTGTTCTCACAGATGTCAACTCCCATATCGAGTTGATGAATAGGAAGACAAAACTTTCTATTAAAGCATTTGCATGGATGTTGCTGTTGAATAAACTTGCTATGAAATAAGCTGTAGATGAGGAGAAACATGCCTTCAACTAAAGAATGACATTAGCTCTGCTGGGCAGTTTTTGCTTACTAAGGTGGTCTCTTCTTCCAGCACAATCTGCATAATTTCAATTGTTTATAGGATACATTTGGCCCTATTACTACAACAGAGTTTCATTTCGATCTTAATTTTTTTCTGTTTATATGCATAGGTCTCCAACGGTTTACCACCACGTCGTGGGTGGGAGATGTTCCTGGGTGTCGGACTGCAATGTACAACGGAGGATTCGTCCCTTGACAGAATCTTCCAAGCTGAGGAGTCCGGCGTTTCCATCAGGAAACCTAGCTAAGAGTAAGCCAATACCAGAATCCACCACCGTCCTGGTATTAAAGTCGCATGATGGCAAATGTCCCTCTGATCCACAAAGGCTGCGACTGCCTGTGGTGGTGAAGACCTGGCACACACTTTGGCCAGGCTGACCTCGGGATTCCAGGGAACCACAATGGCTTAAACAGCAAATCTCTGAAAAATGGAGATTAAGCTGGAACACCAGCACAATCAGTGAGGACGAACCATTCAAATATCAGGTATCAAGTAAGCAAGTATATGCATAAGACTAGGATAAATACGTCAACTGCTTAGGAGATCCTCACGATTTACCATTCTACATTTGCTTACTAATAGTTTATTATTAACAATTGAAATAAACACCTGTACGTGACAACAACAAATATTCACAGGAAAGTTTGCCCAGAAAATAAGAAATAGATACGATTTGGTTAAGAATGCGATTCAAGACGGCATTGAAAACTGGCCTACGTTGCCGAGTCGATTAGCAGTGGCCGGCCGAATCTTCTTCGGCATATCTGAACTGATTCAATCAACTATGGAAATAAAGATGACCAACAGAACTGAGGCAGATCGAGAAAAGCTGCGTGACAACCTTTTCCGTTGTTGTACTCCTCTTTTGAGGCGAATACAGTATCCATAAGATAGAAGATAAAGATGAAAATTCGCAGAAATCGCTCGAACATATCAATCTGTAAAGGAAATAATGTCCAAATAGCTTTGGAAAGAAAATACAAAAGGAATCTAAAACGGTACGAAGTGATTGGTAATTAAACACATAAATGAGATAGAATGAGATATGGAATGTTACAGAACTGTGTCATGATATTCTATAAAGTTTTTTGCTCCACTTCCCACACCCCTACAGCAACATAGAGACACGTTGTCTCTAATAATATTCTAAGCACTGGCTATATAAAAATGTCTTTCTACTAGGATATCGGGGGAAAAGCCATGAAGACATCAACTGTCACAAGAACACGAACATAAATAAAAAATAGTAAAGCCCTCTGTGTTGATCAATCCTTGAGTGATGCGCCATCCATTAGACCTCGTCAGGCATAGTTAGAGGTGATTGAATGAATATCTGGTCTATACATGATATGACTCGTGGTGACTTATCGATGTATCAAGTTATTGCAGCTATCCTCTTGGACAGGTATAGAAGTTATTTGGCAACCACAGTGGAATGCGAAGCTATGTATGGGGGGAGGTGTATGGGGCGCAGGATCGAACCCACGTGTAGGCACCTCTAACACTGTGTTACACGCACCCTCTGATGAATATAGCTGTAATTGCCACGACCGACTTTCTATTAACCTCGGCATTGATCAAGTAATTTTCTTCGTATTTTTGCTGAGCAAACGCGAGGTGTTATTCAACTTAGTGGAAACCTCATAGAAAGCGGCTCTGAGGAAAGCGAAATCCGCCGAAACGTCAGCTTAATCGTGAACAAAGAATAGTAACACCTCGCGTTTGCTCAACAAAAATACGAAGAGAATATAGCTGTGTAAAAACAGCTCCACGTACGAACTCGCGACAGGAAGTTAATCTCTCTGTTCCTTTATTTCAAATAAGACCAGACACTCTTGAAAGACGAGTGGATCAATGCTTCCACCTAAGGACAGCGCTAAAGTAAACATTGGAAGCAAACCCTTTCTAAGAGGTGGTCATTGAATATACTCCCTCTTCTGGACTATGAACTGCACAGAAGTTATCTTGAACATTAAAAACAAAAGAAAAATGACAGAGCCAAGAACCACTTTAATGGGTGAGAGTAAAGGACCGACTGAGAGCGATCCGGTTGTTGTCATGAAAGCATCCTTTTAAAAACATCTTTTTACCATTGATCACTTGCCAGCGATAACCAGTTCAATAAAACGGTGTGACTGGTGCGATTTCTGGAAAACAAGGTGGGCTTCAGAGATTGGTTTCAATATCCTATCCTACAATGATATAGTGCTAGAATGGAAAGCACGGAACACTCTGAAGAAATCTACACCAGAACGGTTTGTGATCTACACAAATTGATGGCGGTAATCGAATAACGCTAAAGATATCCGGAACACGATTAATTTGTCCTAGTAAGGAAAAAATTAGCACCAATAAGGATGGATATTTTCTAATCCGTGAACATCGCACAGTAAATTAGAACCTGACTATAGCACAACAAGACAAAAATGAAAGAAACTGAAAGAACACGATAGGTGGGCCGGAGATATTATCACTTTTAATAAAAGAAAAACAATGAAACAATCTGTTCTGGCTTTGATTTCAACCGTGATCCACCATTAACTTATTATTTATTTATCGATTCATTATCGATTTGGTAGCCATTTATCGATTTAGTACAAAACAACTGAACATTATCAAAATCATAGTCAAGGTTTGAATAAAGCGGAAATAAGTGGAATGGAAATAATGGAATAATGGAATAAAGTGGAAATTACGTGGACTAGAAAAGAAATGACGATAACAATAGGGAAGGGAAGTTTGCCAAACTAAAGATACGCAGGAGTAGATTACGGTATGCCTCCAAGACAGACTTCACGAAATGGGAGTGCGACCTCGAATGGGGAACGGCGTAACCAACGCGATGGTCACGTGATGTCGACCCGTTCGACAAGCGGGCGTTGACCACGTGAATAGCACGCGACCGAGATGAACGCGATCGTTGAGTGTCAATTATTGGCAGAGATAAGTTCTCTTTTTACCAAGCCCATTATTCTAAAGGATTCACTGCCTAGTAATTTTAAATTATTTTTAGAACTTCACATGAATTAAGTCTACTACGTCGCCCTCAATAGCGGTGAATAAATTAGAGCAAAGAGTGAAGATATCTTCACAGTCCACATGTGCGTAGGTAGTTTCTGTTTGTCCAGAAACCTTCCGGATGACCAGTTTCGTTCTGTGGATTATCGAGGCGACAAATGCGAACGAATGTGATTTCTGCAGACTTCGAAATAAGCGAAATTCAGTCAGACAACTGCCAAGGTTAGAAAAGCGAGCGACAATCTTGTGTCTATCCATCAAGAATTCATCGACTCCAGGGCATTCATCAATCTGCATCCTGAACGTGTGAATGGCACGTACGCAACCATTGCACTTGTGGGCGGCAAGATAACAGGAAAACCATAAATAAAATCCCATGCAATAAAGTGAGTCAGCTGTTTTGTTGCTAATACAAACTGATAAGCTACAATTTTGCAAGACTGCAAACGCTCCATTGAGGCTTGTATTCTCTCAGTGCTGTTGTACCTCTTGTGTGTTTCTGGAACTAAAACATCGCCTTCGCTACTGCAGAGAGCAGAAATCCTTACTTTCACAGGCGGTTGAATGTGTTTGCTTCTTTTCCAGTGACTTGTTGCACTCGTACAGAAGAATTCATTCCTAAAGGGACGACGTGATCTCTAGCGGAGTCATACCATGCCAAAATGAAGACCGCTTTGGAGTTTAAATCAACATATCTCAGTCCATTGTGAATGCTATTAACTGCTATAAGATTTATGGTAAACCATAAATCTTCGCCTACAGGATGAAATTTCTTGTTTCACAAAAGGATGTAATTCCGACTTTCTGGAGCTTACGGCATAGATTTCTTCCATTTCAATTTTGTTTCGAGGCTCACATTTCCAACATCCAACATTTCCAACGAGCAAACGAACAAGCGGGGTTTAATTAAGCTGATGAATTAAGGACCCGATGTTATTCTCCTAAGTATTGCTCATGTTTTCAGCTGCCGCTTTTGCGTTGGGATTTTTGAAGCTTGCAAATTTCATCTCCAATTTTTCTAAAGCTCCGATTCTAAGCAGTTTTAAAATTTAAAGAACTTTACATCGGAAATTATATACATAAACTGATTTTGCTTAAATTAAATTTTCGATCAAGTAAAGTGTCTTCTATGAATCCATAAAGTCCTGAACCCCTGAAATAATTCACTAATCGAGAAATTGTCGTCAGGTGTCGAAGAATCTTCGCCACCAAAGGGTCATCAAGTGTGCCGTTCAGTCTGTTTCAGAAGATGTTCCCGTTTCAGTCATTTGCATGAGCAGTTACTAGCTACTTACTTACGAATTGTTAGCTGTTAAAAGTACGGTTATGCGGAAAAAAATCGAAACTTCTCCGTTTATCAGCGAACTCAGACATCTCTATCTCTTATCAGCTATCAGGCAGACACTCGCGCAATCCGTAATCACTGGAAAAATCGTCGAAGAACTCTTTAATTGTTAAAATATTACTTAACAAATCACAGTGAGGGCACATGTCACCTATGTGGTCAACATAACTGTGGTGGTAAAGTCGGAGAATAATCTCAAGGTGGGTTCGGTCTGAATTTTGGCCAATTACGCCAGATGGTGCTAAGAAAGAAACATAACCTTGTTATTTAGTCACCTCTTTATGAAAAGCAAAATTTTTTCCATCATCCCTAAAATTTTCAGATTGCATAGTCTACAGGGAAAAGCATTTCTAGAAGTACTGTATTCTTTTTCTTGGTCCTAACTGGAAAATAGATTCAATGGGTGAAAACGTGACAAAATTCAGGTTAAAGGTTAGCGATGCCAACATTCAAAGAGCACTAGCTTAAACCTCCTTAGTTAATAATAGACTTTACACGGAAATGTCTAAAAAACGAAAATTCTGTGGAATACTTTACTAAGGTTAGATACCAAGGATAGATGAATGAACGTTATATAACAACCTTCTGTAAGCAGAATAATCCGAAGAAATAAACCATGATGATGTTTAATTCTTATTTACTGCTTATTCCTTTTTTATGGCAGGATATTATGTGAAATACAGTCAAAACGTTGATGGAATATGAGCAAAATTAGAAACCTTAGCTGGGCTTCGAACTAGCGATCACTCATTCCATGGGCTCACCGTGTCATCCACATCAACCGAGGCCCTTGGTTTATCTTTTCCCTCGCTAGACTTTAGAAAAATAGAACTCGTCCTAGTCTTTCCCTCTCTCTCTCTCTCTCTCTCTCTCTCTCTTAGGTCTGATCAATCTCTGAGAGTTGCGTCATGCATTCTACTTCGCTGAACACTGAAAGAGGTGATTGAATGCATATTTGGCCAATACATTGTCACGCTGTGAGCTATCGGTGTATCAAGTCATTGCTGATATCTCCCTAGAGAGGTTCTGCTACGTTTGCCGATATGGAAGGCTTCGTGGGCTTGAAGAATGGGATCGAGCCCATGGGTATTGCAGGGCACCTTTAACCACTGCGTTACTCGCGCCCATGAACTCGTTACCTAGTTTACAAAGTAGCCGTGCATGACGTGATGGCTTGACATCGGGTTTTGATGACGGCTGTGCCTCATACCAGCTGAAAATAATAGGGGAAAACATTTCTTTTACTACGCGAGCCGCATTACCATGGCGATCGAAGCAGTGTGCAAAGTCGAGGATTCTACTCACTCCCAATATTTAACGAGAATTCTGTTTTGTCTCCTTCGCGAGTGAGAGATCGAAAACACCATCAGCACCATCGGTCCTTTTATGAGAATTTTATGAACGCGGAATAAAACTAAGCAAGAAGTTCTTTGCTGGAGCAGTTTCGTGTCGCTTCAATTGAATAGTTGAGTAACGGACAGTTTCGTTACAGCATTTTCTTGCCCCTTCAATACTGGACTGTACGTAGACAGAGAATCCAAGCCGATGGACGAAAACGCCACAGTTACCTTGTTTTCAGTTGAGGGTCGTGCGATTACCTGAACTCTGTTCAGTAATCTTTTAGCATTCAAATGGTCGTCCCAAAAAGTGAGAAACTTGGTGGAATACAAGTCCAAACATTTTAACACCGGTTTATTGCAGTCTTTCTCTTCATTGAGGCACTCAGTGTTGCTTTTTCATGTAGTGTTCTAGTGACTAGTGTTTTTACTGATTAAGGAAAGAAGTTTAAAAGCCGGCTGAGCGAAAAGCAAAACAGGGGCATCGGTTAGTGTAGTTGATAGCACGTCCAGTTCGCCAGATCTTCCGCGTAACCAATTAGAGCAGAAAAATATTCGTTAACGAAGCATTACAATAGTAAAAGAAGTTTTGGATCGTTTGTAGTCACTTAAATTTACTTCACTAAGAACTTTGGCAGCAGGAAGACCACTGATTTGATGCTCAGAGTTCCTCATAAATATCCCAGAAGAAAAACATTGTGCTCAAGGAATCCCTTGAATGAGTAGAATTTAGCGCGCTGCTGTTTTGCCTATTAAGAGGCAACTTTGAATTTTGTTATTAAGTTTACAAAGGCGAAAAACTCACGAATTCAGAAGTTATATAAAGACTAAAGATGGAATAGTAAGAAAAAATGATCGATGAGATAAGGGCATCAAAGATACGCTTCCGACGACGGACGCTACGAAACATGGATTTCACATGAATTGATGAGTTTTCAAAAATCCATAAGAAAGACGAAGTCAGAGAATGTAAGTAGTAGCAAAGGCAAAAATGTGCTAGGCGTTCATTTTGACAAGTAATGCATTACTTGAATAATTAAGAGCTACTGAAGCTACATTTACATCAACTTCTTTCTGGTGCCGTTGAGAGCTTTGCCTATAGGAAATATTTTATAGTATAAGATTGAAAGTTCTGTGGAGAAGAGAATGGCCAGAGAAAAATGAAAGAAACCTAAGCAGAGTTAGAATGAAACCCTTCCAATGATTTATATATAGAGCGACAATTTCTGTAGGTGTTCAATGACCTCATATAACTTGACAGATTAACATGGATGCTGAGGAATGGTATAAAAAATCAAAAGAAGCGAAACAAACCCGTGATGGTACGCCGCTTTCTCTCCGACAAAAAAACTGACACCGAGGAATTCTCGTCGACCTTCGTCGCAACGAAATCTCGTAGAGAGTAAATAAAAACTAAACTAGAAAAGACTTCTATTTGACAATAAACTAATGACGCTAGAAAAGTGCGTCAAAATTTTCCGAATGGAAGCGAAAAGTCATCGATGAAAAAGCACTGTGGGACCCGGGACGCTAAGCGAAATGATGCAATTGTTTTACCCTTTAGATATGGGCACTTCCTGGATGCGAACCAGAAAAATGGTGATAAAGCTACAAACTCTGACTAACTATATTTTGTTGATGCAACACCCTTTTCTTCCAAAATAATAGAAGGATAAAGGATAAATCCCTCGGCGTTGATCAATCCCTGAGGGAGGTGCCATGCAATCGACTTCATTGAGTACCGCCGGAGGTGATTGAATGCATATCTAGCCTCTACAATCTCTCGCGGTGGCCTATCGATTTATCGATCCACTGCTGCTATCGTCCCAGACAAGTTTGCTACCAGCTAGCCGACGCCGGAGGGATAGAAGGTTTGGTGGCCTTTGGGCGCGGGGAACGATTCCACGTGTGCGTCGCAGTGCCGCCTCCAACCATTGCGCCACACGCGCCCTTACCTTTTTCAAAACAAAGCTTATAACCACAACGTTGCTGAGATATTTGCAAAACTCTGGACCGCAGGTGTCTATGGTGGGGAACGAACGCGCTATTATCCTTTCCGGGGACTAACGCGTTCGCCACCACACCATGCGGGTCCTTTGTTTCGCACGTCTCTCAGCTATTTCTATCGATCTTTTTGCCACAGCAATCACCCGTCAGCGGGGTTGATCTGGGGAGCGCAAATCGGCATAGAACCCAGTTAAGCTATGGCTGTAGTTGAAATCAAAGCGCTCCCCAGATCA